CCCCGTTTATCAACCACTCGAGAAAGTCTACAGCGACATCTTATACATACCTCGGACCGAAGGACGTGAAGATCTGAACTACGTCATCACCTTCATCGACGCCGCAACACGTTATGTCTGGCACGTTAACTTACCGTCACGAGACATGGCTCTAGAAGCCTTCACAGCCTGGCTACCTGTCGCTGAAAGAGAATCGGGAGTAAAACTGAAGAGTTTTCAGTCAGATGGCGCGATGGAATACCAGTCACACCGCTTCAAGCAGTTCTTGGCAGAAAGAGGCATCAAACGCCTCATCTCTCTCCCTTACGCTCACCAACAGCAGGGTGTGGCAGAAAGGATGAACAGGACCCTGCAGACAACCATGCGAAAGCTGCTACGTGGAACACGACTGCCCAACTCAGAATGGCCAGCAACGATGGACCACGCTGTCCTCCTGCACAACTTGCTGTCCTCGTCTTCACTGCCCAACAACGCATCTCCGCACCTGTTGTGGACTGGGAAGCTGGGCAACACAAAAATGTTAAGAGTCTTTGGGTGTATGGTACAGTACCGCCCACACACTGCACGCGCAGGAAGATTTTCGCAACGTGCACAGTGGGGCCTACACCTCGGGTTGGCAAAACATTACGAAGCTTGGCGAATCTTCGACGTCCACACAAAGGAAACAGTAGCAGCACGTGATGTTATCTTCTACGAGCGACTCACCCTCAACCATTACCTGGACAACATCGCACGCCATGTCGAAACCACCGGCAGATTTTCTGGCTCCCGAGCCTTCGCTTCACCCTCCGACGCTGCTGACTGGGAAGAAGAAAACGTCGACGGCGCCTCCGAAGCTGCTGGACCCCTTCCCTACTGCTCCGTCCCAATCCCCATGGACGACGAAAATCCTCGCGACAGCGTCAATGCCGACGCCTACTACCATTTCGCCGACACTGGTTACGTAACACCCCAAACCGTCAACACCAACATTTCTGAACACTATGGCCCCGGATTTGCACTTGATCCTGAAGCGGGAGACGAAGCAGTCTATCCCGAGGATCCCCTGATGAACCGTCACACCCCCAGCGGACTCCAAGTTCTGGGGCTCGTCACTGCTGTGCACGGGACTTCGACGCCACCTGAAGAGCCTCGCTCTGTCAAGCAGGCTCTGGGGGGGGGAACACAGAGAAAAGTGGCGCGAAGCCATGGAAAAGGAGTTAAAAGCGCTATCAGACCGCAACACCAGGAAGATCGTCCCTGCATCACTCGCACAAGACAGACCCATTCTCTCTGGGAAATGGGTAATTCCGGATCAAAACCAACTCCGACGGAACCATCGAACGATTTAAGGCTCGATGGGTCGTCCGCGGATTCGACCAAGAATTTGGTCGCGACTTCACCGAGACTTTCGCTCCAGTCAGTCGACACACTTCCCTACGCATTCTTTTCGCCGTCGCCGCCTCACATCGCCGCCCACTCCGACAAATCGACGTCGCCAACGCTTTTTTGTACGCCCCAGTCGACGCCGAAATCTTCGTTGAACAGCCCCACGGGTTCGTCGACGACCCTTCCCGCGTCTGTCAACTACTTAAATCGCTGTATGGAATCAAACAGGCACCGCGACTCTGGCAGCAGTACCTGCACGCGCGACTTAAACGTATCGGATTCGACCAACTGCCCCATGACCAGGGCATGTATCGCCTCACCCACGACAACGACTACGTCTTGCTAATCGTCTACGTCGATGACTTACTCTACATCGGGTCAACTACCGCCATCGTCACCTGGTTCGAAAAGGAGCTCCAAAGGGATCTCTCCCTCACAGTCTCACCCGGCGTCACGCAGTACCTAGGGCTCAACATTCTCGACGAAGACAACGCCATTCATCTCAGCGCCTCAAAATACGCAAGCACTATCGCCGAACGCTTCTGCTTCACATCGACGCACGTCGCAACACCCTACAGTCACCTATCGCCCGACCCAACCGAAGAAACCAAACTATTGCCGTCTGCCGGAATCCAGGAATATCAACAGAAACTGGGCTGTCTACTTTTCGCCGCCGTCACATGCCGACCGGACTTATCCTACAGCGCCAGCCAGCTAGCGACCTACCTTAAACGCCCAGAACAACGTCACCTCAAGGAGCTCAACCGAGCCCTTCTCTACTTCATCTCGACGCCAACAGTTGGCCTAACATATCACAAGAGCACGACGACCGATCTAAAACTACTCGGTTACGTCGACGCTGATCACGCTGCTGATCGTGTCGATCGTCGCTCTCGCACCGGCTACGTCTACCGTCTCGAGCCCATCGGAACTATCTCCTGGCAATCGAGTAAGCAGGAACTCGTCGCACTATCATCTGCTGAAGCAGAGTATATTGCTCTCTGCACCGCCACCAAGAAAGGTTTGTACCTGCGCGAACTGCTGGAAGAAGCGAAAATTGCGAAGGTACCCAACTTCTCGCTTTTCTGCGACAACCAGTCCGCGATACGCATCGCGAACAAGAACGGTTTCGCCTATCAAAATAGTAGATTAATCTTAGGCGCCATGGCTAGGTTTTGAAGAAAACGAGAGTAGCGAGGGAGAAGTTGCACCAACAAAAGAGAGTGATTCAATATTGAGCGAGGGTACAAATAGGAAAGAACAAACAAGAAAGGTGCACCACCAACTAAGAGAACGCTATAACTACAGTAACCAATCCTACAGGCAGTTACATATAGAAAATATTAACTTATATTTTCCGACACGCCCCCATAACTGGCTGTAGGAGAGTATGCAGTTAGTGCCCCCTTAAGGGGTACATCACGATTACACAGCGGAAATTGCAGCAACAAACAAGTGCAGTGACAACCATTGCAGTGGTGGCAGATCCAGCTGTAGCACACCCTGGGCCAAGGTAGAAACAGTAGCAGGTGTAGGGGCGGCAGGTCGCCTGAGGAGCAGGCTCTGTGGCTGCAACGTGCAGCAGGACAGCAGCGGCTCGACGGCAGCACCTGCAGGCCCCTAGCAGCAGGCAGCAGAAGCAAAGGCAAAAGAGGCAGGTGGCAGCAGGGGCGGCAGCTGGAGGTACCACGGTAGCAGTGGGCGTCAGCAGCAGATGCCCCGCTGACTTCCGCCACCCCCTCTCACCCTCCCCCCCACAGCTGCAAGCGCGGCAGTGAGAGAGAGGGGAGGGGGGACGGCTGTTGGTGCTGCAAAATCTCTCTCGCCACCCCCTCACACTCCCCCCCATCCCCCACAGCGACCGGCGCTGCAGGGAGAGAGAGGAGAGAGGAGGGCGTCGGCGGTTTCCTGCGGGTGCGCTCCCGCCACTCCCTCACCCTCCCCCCCACAGCGACAGTCGCGTATGGGGCGATAAAGGGCGACGGCAGGTGCTGCTGGCGCCTCACAGCAGCCACCCCGTCACACCACCTCCCCCACTGCCCGCCACACCTTCGACCTCCCCCCACAGCAGGAGCACGCACTACAGTAGCAAGTGCGACAGCTGCAGCGGGACCGGGGGGAGGGTGGGCGGGGATAGTTGCTCGAGCGCGACGAGCGGGACAGAGGGCCGAAACTGAGGCGAGATGAAGCGGCGACGAGGCAGCGTGGCCGCGTACAACGGGGCGACTAGGCAGCGCGACAAGCAGAGCTCCGCCTTCGCCCCCTCGATCGCGCACGCGATTATGACCGTCGCGGATTTCAACGCGACGGTCATACTGGCAGCACGATCGCAGCAGAAAATCGTTGGGAGGGAGGGCCGCCATGACAGGGTCAAAAATCGGTGGGCCCATTGATCGAAAACTAGCTCTGATACCATATCAAAATAGTAGATTAATCTTAGGCGCCATGGCTAGGTTTTGAAGAAAACGAGAGTAGCGAGGGAGAAGTTGCACCAACAAAAGAGAGTGATTCAATATTGAGCGAGGGTACAAATAGGAAAGAACAAACAAGAAAGGTGCACCACCAACTAAGAGAACGCTATAACTACAGTAACCAATCCTACAGGCAGTTACATATAGAAAATATTAACTTATATTTTCCGACATCGCCAACAGAACCAAACATATCGCACTGCGATACTTCTTCGTGAAAGACGAAATCGAGAAAGGAAAACTCCAGCTGGACTACCGTACTGCGCGACCACCGAGATGACAGCAGATTATCTCACCAAGAAGTTACCAAAGGGGAAATTCGAGTACTGCATGCTGCTTACCGGATTGGGCCACGTCACCGAAGCTGACCACGTCGACACTCCAGAAACGAAGGGGAGTGTTGGGAATATAAACGCATGACTTAGTGCGTTTCTGTAGTATCGAACCTCACCCGATACTGAAGCACAACAAAAGGGGTACGAAATCGAAAGGGCGCGTACCACATCAAACCGCAACTGGAGGTTGCGAGCTGTAACCGCCTGGAGGTTACGTAACAGCAAGCGACGCTTCAGTGAACAGTAACCGCCTCGATAGTCGAAGCGTTACGCGTCTCGATAAACACAACCGCTTCCTGTAATCTATCTTTCCTATATATTCCTGTATGCTCTTTGCTTTAATCAATTACTTGTTCTCACACACCAGCACAAGTACATTCACTCAAGTCTTCCGCTGTGCTACTCTAGCACCTACTAGCCTATTCTCTGCAAAGATCCTAAGGCTGAAATTCTCAGCCCAACAGACCGTCTATCGAGACGGTCATCGTCTGTTTGTTGTTTTGACCAATCAGGGTCGGAATTCCTTTTGAGCGTAAGAAGTGAACGCTCTCAGATTGGAAATCCACGTAACTAGTCCCCAGCAGCGCTAACAGTGCCTTCGGAGCAAATTTTGTCTAGTAGTGCTTCTCGATAAACTAAAAACCCAAGTCCTTTTATAGACTGGTAGATATATTACCGGTACCGTATGATACTTGCTTGTGCTATGAAATTTGTTAGGGCAAATTAATTTATTTCAATTCAAATTCTAGGCAAATGCCTACTGCTGTGCTTGGTGAGTGCTTGCAGAGTGACGGATTCATGTTCAGGACGCCTTCCACAGTCAACACTAGGCTTCAGCAAAATAGAAGATGTATATGAAATTACAGCATCACAAAAGCTACACACACTACACCAAAATCCACCAACCCTGCAGACAAGCCCACCTATTTAACCCTCCCACCCTCACACAACCCCCCTTTCCCCAACACACATACGCAGCATCACCAAGCAACCGTCAACAGCAGCAGCACAACGCCTTTCTACAACCCCACGTCAGCTCAGCTGGCAGAACTCCACTGCACCATGTTGCCACCAGCAGCAGCACGCACCACCGTCTCGCCCGCCTCACCCTACGCCATGGTTTTTGCTGTGCTAGCAAACGAGGTACCGCCGGCCTTGAGCGCGCCCTTCATGCCGCCGTTGCTGTACCCCTTGGCCGCCGCCTTGAGCGCTTCAACGCCGCCCTTCTGCACCACCTTCTTCGCCAGCCCTCCCGCCTTGCCCGCCGCGTTCTTGATCCCGTTCTTGATCTTCTTCCAGCTCAGCAGCACCCGCACCGCCTCGTCCAGCCCGTCCGTCGCCTCCCCCACCTCCTCCTCCTCGACACCCACGTCCACGCCACCGCCGCTCGCTTCCAGCAGCATGCGGCCCCAACTCGCCGCGTCCTCGCCAGCGCTTCCCCCAGCAGCGACATCGCCCCGCAGTGGCGCGGACGCGGCGTAGAGTGCGGGAAGGGAGACGAGGATCAGAGCGAGGACGAACAAGGAGCGAAGAGAAGCCATGGTAACGGTCGCGCCGGATTCTAGAGATTAACACTGCGAGCGATGATGAGGATCAGATTCGGCTGGTTTTTTCAGCACTGAGAGAAGCAACTCAGTTGGCAATGGTGATTGGTTGGATTGAGGCGGTTTAAGTAGCGAAAGACGAGGAAGAGGCCGCGAGGGTGGTGAAGGGATCCGTGGTGCGTCGCCAGCATGATGGCACTCCACCCAGCAGCCCGCGGTTATTGCTGGCATGGCGCCACCGCACAACGCGCATCATGCGGAGAAAGCTACTGCTCTGCACGCTAGCGCGCTCGTGCTAGGATAGATTTTGAGTCGGAGATGAACGGCAGCGCGGCCGCAATAATGGCTGCTAGTTCATTCAAAACAATGGGCTCGTCAGATCGCCAAGGAGGTGATTTTCGAGAGATTTCGAGAGCAGGAAGCGAGGGTTGGGTGGGGAGAGAGGAGTGCGCCGTCTGTACCGTAGCGGCATAAACCTAGTTCTTTCATTCCAGAAACTCGCAGTTATTGCTCGCATCATGGCGCCGCACAATGCGCAAAGAGCGACTGCCGCGTGAGGCGTTGGGATGCTTCGCTGGTAACGAGGACACACGCTGCTGTGCTCCTGGGTTTGAGAGCTAATGGTGCAAGTGAGGAAGCTTCGAGATCAACAGCAGCGCGGGAAGAATGGCTCTCAGCGGGTACTTGTTTGTGGAGGGGAGGATGGATGGAGGAGTGCTCGGGGACTCGGGTCGGGACTCGGGGCTGGTTTCCCAGGCAGCTCGATCCCAACGAAAGCAGCCAGCCCAACAAAGTATCAGCGAATTGGTCGACGAGAAACGAAACGAGAAGTACCTGGGCTTCGTTCGGAGGCCTGTTCTAGACGCTGCGTTTGAACACTGGAAGTTTCGATCGCCCGGCCATTTTTACAAAAGTAACTGGTTTCGCTTCTCGTCGAGTCGTTCGCCAACGCATTATCGAAGTGGCTGGTGTTCGACTAGTGCTGGTTCGCAAACAAGCCATTCTCCCGCTGAACGCGCTCCCGAACACCCCTGCTTCGTCCCCTTCGAAAAACTCTTTCCCACCAGAAGCCATTATTGCCGCCGCTGGTCTCGGAGCTCTCTTGGCATTGAGCTCTCGACTCAAGTCCTCGTTGACCAGCGTGCCGCATCCAACGCCCCACGCGACAGTTTCTCTTTGCGCATTTTGCGGCGCCATGATGCGAACAATAATGAGAGAACTAGGTTACTGCGTACGACGGTACAGACGGCACTCTCCTCTCCTCTCCTCCCCACCCAACCCTCACCTTCTGCTCTCTAAAAAATCCCTTGTTGGCGATCTGGCGAGGCGAGACCCTATGCCAGTGAGGCGATGAGTTGAATCAAGCCATTATTGCCGCGCTGCCGTCCAACTCGATTGCCTCTGCCACACCCCAGAAGTAGTACAGCTTTCTCCGGATGTTGCGCGTTTTGCGGCGGAGCCATGCCAGCGATAACCGCGCGATGCTGGGAGGGGGCCATCATGCTGGCGACCATCATGCTGGCGACCATCATGCTGGCGACCATCATGCTGGCGACCATCGTGCTGGCGACCATCGTGCTCGCCTCCTCCTCCTCCTGGTCTTTCGCCGCTACTTAAGTCGCTTCCATTCCGCCATTCACCATCACCAACCGAGTGCTTCTCTCAGGGCTCGAAAGTCACCCAAATCTGATCTTTATCGTCGTTCGCAGTGCTCTCTTCTATAATCCGACGCTTCTACGCTCTCTAAATCGCTCGTCACCATGGCCACTCTTCGCACCGTGTTCATCCTCGCCTTGGTCCTCGTCTCGCTCCCCGCACTCTATGCCGCGTCCACGCCACTGCGGGGCGACGTCGCTGCTGGGGGAAGCGCGGGCGAGGACGCGGCGAGTTGGGGGCGCAAGCTGCTGGAAGCGAGCGGCGGTGACCTGGACGTGGGTGGCGAGGAGGAGGAGGTGGGGGAGGCGACGGACGACGGGCTGGACGAGGCGGTGCGGGTGCTGCTGAGCTGGAAGAAGATCAAGAACGCGGCGAATCAGGCGGCGAAGAGCGAGGCGGGGCAGAAGGCGGGAGGGTTGGTGAAGAATGTGGTGAAGAAGGGCGGCAAGGAGGCGCTCACGGCTGCAGTCAACGCGTTCCGCAGCGGCAAGGGCGCCAAGGGTGCCCTGCAGGCGGGCGCTGGCTCGTTCGTCAAGACCGCGAAAACGATGATCTAAGTGGGAGAGGGGAGATTGGAGGGGTGAGAGGCACGGCGGAGTGGAGTTGGGCAGCGGCAGGCAGGGCAGCAGCGCAGCTGGTATGGTGCCTGCTGCTGGTAGCAGCTCGGTGCAGTGGGGTTCTGCAGCGGCAGACAAGGCACTCCATACGCTGCTCCTGCTGCTGCTGTTGCCTCCACTGCTGTCGGTGCTTCTGCCTGCTGCTGCGGTCCCTTCTGTCTGTTGCTGCTGATGTGGCTTGCAAGTGGCACGGTTTGCAAACTTGGTTGCTTAGTTCTGTCCTGGTGATGCTGCTGGGAGAGGTATGTGTGTGTGGGGGGGTGGAAGGGTTAGGTGGTGTGTGTGGGTGAAAGAGTTAGGTGGGCGTGTGTGGTGTGAGTGCATGGTTGGTAGCGGAACTGGGTGCTCCTTTGGTTCTTCTGTAATCGCAAATGTATCTGCTGCTACCATGCATTTGCTGAAGGCATTGAAAGTTAGTATGGGGTCGTGAAAAGAATCTTGGTGTTCTGAATCTGAAATTGTCATACATCACGCACTCACCACACACGCCAGGCAGTCACCACACACATCAGACACTCGCCACACGCACTGCGCACTCACCACACACGCCACAACTGGCTCACTGTCTCTCCTGTCCTGCTCACGCACACCGTCAGTTGAGGTGAAGAGTGGCAGAAAGAATTCAGGCTCTAGATAACGTTACCGACGCTGGCCGCCTTGAGAGCAAGTGGGAGCTGCTATGGTTCTGTAGTTGGAATTTTGACGCGCCACTGATAGCATATACACCCCAACCCTGATGACATTCTCTTAAAAAACTGATTCCATATACCGAATCTGCTACTTTCCACAAGCAATTCCTGCACCCTTCTTCGCATCCTCTTCCCACATACCACTCTTCCATTTGCTTCCTCCCGGCTAACCTTGCTTGATGCACTTGTCATGCATGTTCTTCCCCAATACATACCTCTCTTCCCTCCCCCACAGCCCTTGCCAGTGAGCCACTGGAGGGGGGATTTCTACCTGTAACATTCCATGTCACCCCTTTGCATCCCTGCGTCCGTCCTTGCCATTCCACACCCAAGCAGCCCCTGCCAGTGATGGTCGGGTTCCTGCAGGGCAACCCAGTGAGCCACTGGAGTGGGGGAGTAAACTTGTCATAGCAACCCTCACCGCTTTGCACCCCTGCATCCATCCGTGCCCTTCTCTTCCCTCCTGGACAGCCCCTGCCAGTGATGGTCGGGTTCCTGCAGGGCAACCCGATGAGCCACTGGAGCGGGGGAGTCAACCTGTGGAAGCCCCATTCACCGCTCTGCACCCTACATCCGTCCTCGCCTCCCCACATTCCCAACAGCCGCTGCCAGTTAGTTTTTGGTTCGTGCAAGGCAACCCAGTGAGCCACTGGAGCGGGGGAGTCAACCTGAAAGCCTCCTGCTGTGAAACCAGGGGACATAGTTGGTGAGTGACGGGGTTGCGTGGTAAGGAAGTGATTGGGGTGGGTGAGACGAAGTGAAAGTGAGCCACGGGGGAGCCAACCTATGGAAGCCACCTGCTGTCGAGTCAGGGGACATTCTCGGTGAGTGAGGAGCGGGTGGGATGGAGGGCTTGTGTGAGTTGAATGGGAGGCTGGTAGGGTGCGCTTAGGCTGAACCAAGGGTGTGGGCAGGGAAACCATGCACTAGGCTGTGGGTGTTAATCATAGTGTACCTCCCCTCTCTCTCTCCCTCATTCCCTTCCCACTGACACCTGTTCTGTTCCCACCCTCGTTCACCCCATCCCCAATCATCTCTCACGTTTCCAGCCTAATGCTGCTCGAGTTGAGCGTATATCACCCTACCGGCCCTGCTCCCCCCATTCAAGTCGTTGAGTGGCTCCCGAAGACTAACGACGTGCATCCTTGGAGGCTAAAACTGCCTGCTCCACCTGCCGTTCCTCCCCGTTCAGTCTTCCAGTGGTTTGCAGAGACGCACGACGTGCAGCGCTTCTGAAGTATCCTCGCCGTGGAAGCCTGCTCCACCTCGCAGCTTGGCATGCGATGCGCCTCTTCCAGGTCAAGCCCCGCCCAGCTGGCTAGATGTTCTTCTTTGGCACCAGTTTCGGCAACGACTGCCAATGAGGCATCACGTCACGATTGCCATTCCAGTCCGCCAGAGGCATCAATCTAAAACCACCCAAAAGAAAATTACGAATGTATTCCAGGATGTATTTAAGCACTGCACGCACGCTTGTGGAGGGACCAGACCAGAAGCTTGGCTTGATACCCATTTGTTGGTGGAAGATATGTTTTTTTTTAATTCATTTAGTAGTAACATAGAGGCATACAAGAATAGATACTTGTTTTGTAACACGCCCCCCATTAGGTCTTCCACCAAATGCCATTGCTGCTGGAAGACCGTTGCTCTGGGCTCTCGACCCAACCCAACCTAGCCGATACCATTCCAATCCAACCCATCCCTCGTGCTTACCAGCAGGTGCCTTCACTTCTAGCGTATCCATCCCATCCTCATCCAACCCATCACGCACTCTCAGGACGCGTCACCTTTATTTGAACCTATCATCGATCCTACGCAAGATTGTTTTATAGCGGGGATCAAATGGGGTAAAAAACGATGCTTTCTCTTTTAGGGAGAAAAATCCTTCATTTTTTTCCATTTTATTCCCGGTAAAAACGATCCTGCGTAGGATCGGTGCTGGGATCAAACAAAGGTGGCGCGTCTTTAGCGCGTTGTGCGGGGCCATCATACGAGCAATAACTGCGAGCCGGGCGAGCTGCTGGAATGAGGTGTC